CTGTGACGGTAAGTCTGTAGACAGGTGGCGGTGACACACAAGCAAATGTTCAGAGATCGTCCCCAATGCACCGCCACCTGTCTACAGACTTACCGTCACAGGCGTAGTACACCCCTGAGGGTCCGCCGAAAGGTAGCTAAATTGATAAACATCAAACTACAACAATTTTGGAGCGGGAGCTTCCGCTGCCGTGCCGACGATGCTTTGTAGGTTACATCATCATTTATAAAGAGCTCGCCTGCATCGTTACGAGTTAATGATTACTTAGACCTACAGTTACTATAAACACCGGAATGAAATGGCGGGCTTAGCCCAAGCTCAGTTTACGTCAAGAAAGCTCTTTCCGGACAAAATGCATCGCAATCATAGTTTATCACTCGGAATATGGAATTTGCTAGTTTTGATACTTTTTTGTTTTTTGTTTGATTCATTGATTGCGTGCAACCGCCGGTTTTGATGCACCGAAAACATATCGTCGAAAAGATACATGATGAAACCCAAGACTGTTAGGCTTAGTGCAGGTAACGGGTAGTGTAAGTTTTATCCGTGGGTCAACTTTTCTTGAGGTCTACGATCCCGCAATCCGCTAAATAGTTAAACAGCACGATGTATTTTATTATCTATACACATTTAAATAGCTGCCTCGGTACGAAACCCCCGGAATTTTCACGCCCGCTAGTCTAGCGGCATCCGGGTCTGGTCTTGTGCTTACTGTTGCGCACAGCCACAGAACAGTAAACCAGTGAACTGCGAATCATATCGAGGGAAATGTAATACAATTGGTTAATTTACGATTGTATACTTTGGACGTTGCGTTTCGTAAAGATTTTAACGGATGAGGTAGTTAGACAAAGGTGCCTCCTCCGAGACAGCTGAGACCATCGACTGAAGGTATCTTATGATCCGAGGTTGTGAATTCTCGAATATCCAAGTCAGCTAATAACCAGAACACCTCTGGGATGCTAGGGCGTAAAGTACCACGTACGCCTTCAGCAAAGAATTTCGAGTTTTCGGTAATCCCAACCCGCACTTTCTATACCACAAAAGTCCAATTACTCTACCGCCGATAATTAATTATCAATGCAGCCAAGCTACAGAGGAAAAAAAACCCGCTATTTTTTAATGTGTTAAGGCCTCCGATAACACGAGTTTGTAGGGATTCGGTTGGGATAAAGAAAACATCGTGACAGAAACGGCATAGATAATCACCCTTTTATTCATGCAAGCAACAACACCACGGTCTTGTGATGATTTGATCTCGTATACCCTATACCTCTACTGGCCAGCTTCCTGTTCTCAGGCCCTTTTTGAAGTATCCAACCCCCAGGCGCGGCGGCCCGGGTGCACTGATAAGCAGCAGATAAACGATGAATCAGAGACCGAGAGAGAGCCCAAGCGAGAGGTCAAGAGAAAGGAAGAGAGTAACGTGTGTCGTGTTCTACAGTACAACCTTTTCCATGCGGAGAGGATGCTCTTAACAAACAAAGAAACCACTGGAATTCTTTGTTCCGCAAAAACATGCCGTTTCGATCATTTCCACCATGACCGCCGACGTCATTCCGCTTTGCTGGCGGATGGGGCGATTAGAACAATGTCTTATATCTTTAAAGATCAGATGATACAGGGTTGATCAAACCTAGTTTTGGCACCTTCCATCGGGCGTGGAAGGGCAATGATTTATTTTTGCCTTCGTTTCATGCTTACAATGAAACTTGGGGAGGGGGGGTGGGGGCATGTAAATGAATACGGCTTTTACTGACTGCCATCAGATCTTGCGTACAAATTTCGCCACTAAATAATTCCGTACTCTACTTATTCAAGACAGTGTCGGGGAAACGCGTCTATACACAATACAGCTCTCCCCCACACGAACTCACCACTTAGCTACATATACAGGCTCTAGCGAAAGTCGTCTTTTCTTAGGTCACCTTGATGCGAAAGCCCCTTATATTCAGGCGGGTCTGATGGATTGAAAAGTTAAACCTGGGGTGCACATTGAATTGGACCGGCTAACTAGACTTTGGAAGAGACTCCAGATATGATTTGGCTAGGCTGACCGGGCTGGTCGGACTAGCTTGTTGGATTTCTCTTATATGTAGTCCTGCCCGGCCCGATGAGTTAGCCCGGTCTAAAGAGGGGAAGTCCGGTCTTTTGAGAAATAAAGAGACAAATTCGCCACGGGACGCTATCTGGAAGCTGCCCGGGGAAACGTCAATTGACATATGATTTATCCGTCCTACAAGCTCGGACATTGGTATAGATAGAAAGGCAGAAAAATCAGACTCATGCTTACTCAATTAATCTGACAGTCAAAACAATTTCCACTTACGCTGTAATAAGCAAAAAGCCCGGAATTCACTGCAATGGCTATTGGAAATGAGTGGCCATATTTAGAAAGGGCACGCATATTAATACGGTGCGGATCTTAAATAACAGGGACAAGCGTATTAAAGAATTCCTCTCTCCATCGCCGGGTGCATGTCGTGTATGATTCCCGACTTCTAATTACACGCCTGAGCGCGAATCACTAAATAAAATTAGCCACTTATCCAGAGGGCGATAGCTGTCAGATATCCTCAACTCTAAGCTGAGGTCTTAGCACTGAGTTGGAAAGCTTACAGCAAAGGCTTATCGGGTACACTCGAGAGTCAGGACCGGAAAGTGGTGCTCTTAGTTTTCGAAATAGTATAATCTTCCTTTTTGTGGCCAGGAAGCACTATCATTAGTTGATCTTCTTCTACCATATGTGTAATGAACAAAGCCACTCCCAAGCTCGGAAGGGATGCGACATACAAGTATGTAGCGTCCATCTTCGTAGGTTGGTAGTTTGATATAGATTAGACATCATGTAGATATCATGGATAACTGACTTCGTAGTCTATCAATATTTTACAAGACACACGTAAGAATAATGCACCGTTAATTTCGCTCTGAGTACAACCCCTTGTATATAGCGAGAGTACCCATAGAGAGAGTGCCAATCCTACTTTCCCAAGAAAAGTACCAAAGACATGGTACCCTTATAGATATTATGATATTACTCTCATATAAGGTATCGATTTTTCACTCTCGCAACGTTTCATGAATTGCAATATACTTAAATTCACCCTGCAAGTTTAGTGTGGTTAACGAGCTGAGCTATATACTGTATATCTCTGCTTGAGCTTTGATCTCAAGTCCCACGAGCTTAACTTTAACTTTAACTTCAAGTAGTGTTGGGCACGAACCATGCTGGCTCGAGCTCTAGGCCAGGATCGTACCCACTAAGCTGTTTCTGCTGCTTAAGTGTACGTGTCCTCTGAAACAAATCAGAGGTTCTGGTAAGACCCGAGGTGAAATATCTTGAGACATTTTACTGACAATGTTTTCGAGGAGAAGGTCTGGGTTCATGTATAAATATTGGACTATGTGGTAGAATGACGCCTAAATGAAAGGGGAGCGATTGAGATAATTAATTCCAGAGCCGGGGTGAAAATGACATGTAATCATATTAGATCACTCGAAATTGTCTTTAGGTCTTAGGATATCGTCCACGAGCACAAACCCCGAGGGCTATGGCATAGGATGAGATAACTTAAGCATTGATAATTATATTGCAATACTATAAGATTAAGACCTCCCGCCGTAGTTTCGATCTCGATCTAAACGCTTATCGCTTTCCGTGACATTAATATCGATTTTCGTTGATTATCTGATCAGGCCGGCGGATATAGATTAACCCGAGTTGGCCCTAACCCTGACTGTGGCACTGATGATTACGAAGGATACTGCGTAGAGTACGTAAGAGAGCAATACGGAGTTCTGTAGTAAACGACAGGTATTTCAGTGGATATGGTGAGCATTGTCCACCTGTTCATTCATCTTCACTTCATCTATCACTGGCAAAGCATCTTGTCCCTCATTTCATCACCCGGTTTGGCACCGAGAGTTATCAGTGCAGTGTTTCATGAAGCTAATCAGGACTGGTCGAAAGTGAAGAAACATATTTGCCCGGTGAACTGTGCGAAATGATAGGAAGCTTAAGGGCTATATGATCTAGGTCCATATAGAGCACCTATATGCGAATTTCCAATCTAGAGTAATCTGGGATACATAAAAGTAAGCTTTACCAAACCAATCGCATTATCGATCTTTCACGTGCTGATTATTACCAACTTTGGGAATTTCGGATTCTGTTGTCCAAAAGGCCTCAAAACGAACGAATCACCGATAATCAGGGATAAACGTGGCACTAAGCTGGATCTACTCTACTCTACTCTACTGGCTTCATCTCGCATCACTCGCCCAAAGCCAACTATGTAACTGCGCTCTGCCCTGTTTCAGAGTCAGCAAGTCATAGATGTCAGCAGCAGCGCGCGCAAGAAAAGGGCCCTCCTTGGCGAGTGTTTGGACTACATCATAAAACCTGAGTCAAAAGTTGGGTGAGATAAATAGATAACCAGGGAAAGAAAAGAAAAAAATAAGGAGGTATTTATATCATCCACCCCCCCTCTCCCCCCTGATTGGAAAAAGACAGTCCCATGGGCAATCTATTAATTTGCTTTTCTTTGTCAGCTTGCAACAGACATATAAGATGCGACAGCAGTCCCCCCCCTTGGTTCGCGCTTTCCTTTTCCCTCCGACACACAACAGTATGAACTTACCGATACAACCGAATTTTTTGTGCGCGAGGTGTGAATAAGAGGCGAGTGAGAGAGTGAGTGAGAGAGGCGGCGCAGCTAAGGGCTGAAAAATACAAAAAGGAGATAGTTACCTTTCTCTCTTTTTACTGGTAAGTTTGAGCCCCCCCCCCCTCTTTTCTATTATAAGCCCGGCCTAGTTTCTGATTTTAGAGCGCACACAGAAGTTTGACCGAGATAAACGTCAGTCAACTGTCAACACAACTTCAACCCACCTAAAAGAAAAACGCCCCTCAAAAACAAACAAAAAAATAAAAACGCATCCAGCTCACCTGGAACCAAATTTCAAAAAAAACTTCGCCCAAAAAAAAATAATTAAAAATGGCCGTCTCGTCGCTCCCGCCCCCACGGCGCACACCGCCAAAGACGCAGCCTTCAAAGCTCAAGGTCCGCGCCATGTGCAACTCCATCGACCAGTACTTTGAGTACATCCACAACCAGAGCCCCGTGAAGCTTCGCCGATTCAGGTCAATCGAACCGCAGTCGAAAGGGCGCCTGGGAGGGTGGAAGACGTACGAAAGACTGCAGTCGGCATCGGTAGCCGTCTCGTTCGAGGAAGAGGCCTTCTGGGGGAACGAGATCAGGATGAAATTTGAAGAGGAGTTCGAGGAGCTCAGCGGGGGAAGTGAGGAGGACAGCGACGAGGATGAGGACGAGGAAGAGGAGCAGCGACCGCAGCAGCAACAGGAGAGGGAAGTCAAGGGAGAAAACAAAAAGGCGTAAACGGATGGGAGGGAGTTTGGATTCACAACGACGTTCGTTTTCGCTCCAGGAGCAATAAAAGCAACAATTTCTTTCCTTTGTTTTTGTTCTGTTTTTAGAGGTGTTGGTTTAGATAGATAGATCGGATCGCGATACCACCCCCGCACATGCATCACCACCATAGATTAGACGGGCAGGCGGGGGTTGGCTAGATTTTTTTCTTTTATTCCTTTCGTTATCAACCTTACTTTACAGCGACCGAACTATCTAATATTAATACTACGCTTCGTTTTGTTTCATTGTGATCGACCAAGACCGAGTGATTTCTCAAGAAGCAAGTGCTGGCTGGTGACTGATAGTCTATGTATGAATGACGTGATGCTGCATGGGTGGCACTGCTTTTGGTCTCATGATATCATTTACACACTTGACGATCTTTAATGTCAAAGAGAGGTCCAGAGGTTCAGCCTGAGATCCGAAACCACAGACCATCACTACCACCTCCATCCCCGCCTCTACTCTATCCCCCCACATCTGCATCCAAACCCAAACCCAAACCCACACCCACCCCACTGGACCCCCACATCCAGAAAGCATATATCAATATCTACCCGCACCTCACACACTTCACAATGCCGTTAAAAGAAAGAGCGTATTTAGATATCAATTTTTTATACAAAAAAAGCACACACCCATCTCCAGCTCAAAAAAGAAAGAAAGAAAGAAATTTGTTGCTGTCCAAATCGCCCGCTAGCTAGAAGAAAGCTCCTCTTTACTCTGCGGCCTCGGACTCGGCGTAGAGCGCACGGCCTTCCTTGCTGTTGAGGAAGTGGTTCCTCTTCTCAGCCCAGTCCATGAGGAGGTAGGCGACAACGAAGGGCGGGGCAACGTATAGGGCCTGTTTGTTTGTTTAGTTGTGTTAATTACCCGGATGGATGCGGGGTATATGGTATTGAATGACTTTGCGGGGGGGGGGGGGGGGGGGATGGGAGGTACCTGTGAGCGGAAGCGGCGCCAGCTGTTGAAGACGGCGGCGTGGGCGGCTCCCTTGAGGGGGCGCTGACGGTTGGCGGAGAGGGTGTAGGTTGTTACGCCCTTCTGGGGAGGGGAGCCTGTGGGAGGGGGTGTTAGTTGGTTATCGTACGTGGAGGTGGAGATGCAGGTGAGGGTGCTAGTCTACGTACCGAATGATCCCCACCATCCTATGTAACTATCGTGTATCAAGATCCATCAGCATATATATCAACCTTAATCCATCATCCATCCACCCATCCGGAGGGAGGGAGTGGCAGGTGTGCGTGCGTGCAATCATCAATCGTACTTACTTCCCAGGCATTTTTTCACCACCGCCACCCATTGCTGCAGATGTCGAATTCGAAAGAAAAGATTGATTGGGAAAACAAGAAAACGCGGTTTAGAGCGAAGGTTTTGCTGCGAGGAGCGAGAGTGGTTGTTTGCGTTTGAGGCGTCGTTGGGGGGGAAGGTGGAAGGGGTGGGTGGGTGCGGTTGATATTTATCAATCGGCAGTAAACGTGGGGCGATGGAGAAAGAGGGAATTGAAGGGAGGGTAAAAGGCCTTTCCCGCGACCGTGATTCGCCGGTGCCCGTTACCGTTACCGTTAAGCAGCAACCAGCCCCAGTCCAGTCCCCGGTCCAGGTCCTACGCGGGCCGGAGGATGGGTGTGGATGGAGGGGATGACTAAGGTGGGCATTGCATTTTCTCTAACAACGTCGTCGTGCTGGGTTTGGATCATCTCACCCCCACCACCATCGTGAAACTAATTAACCCCCCCATCCCCACCAACCTATCACACTCTTCCGTGATAAACTCTACACACTAGAAAGTCTTCAATGTCGGGAATCCTGAACCTCGTCTCTCGGTTGGCCATCCCCGCAGCGGTCGGTGTGTCGCTCTTCCAGCTGTCCATCTATGATGTGAAGGGTGGCAGCAGGGCCGTCATCTTTGATAGGATTAGCGGTGTCAAGGAAACTGTTTGTTTCTCCTCGTCCCCGCCCAAACATTATCCCTCTATGTGTGTGCATGATAACTGTATACTGATACGATGCATATATATAAAAAAAGGTTGTCAACGAGGGAACACACTTCCTCATCCCATGGCTCCAGAAGGCAGTTATCTACGATGTCCGCACAAAGCCCAGAAACATCTCCACCACCACTGGCTCAAAGGATCTCCAGATGGTCAGCTTGACACTCAGAGTCCTGCACAGGCCTGAAGTCAAGGCTCTCCCTAAGATCTACCAGGTATGATCGATCCTCCCATTGTTGATAGCAGTAGATCTCTAGTCTGATATCCCACCTTTTCCAAAGTCTCTCGGTCAAGACTACGATGAGCGTGTCCTCCCCTCCATCGGAAACGAAGTCCTCAAGTCCATCGTCGCCCAATTCGACGCCGCCGAGCTCATCACCCAGCGTGAGCAGGTCATTATCCCCCTCTTCCTCCTCCACAAACCTAATCACAAACCCTAACCCATTCGTCTTTCTACAGGTTTCCAACCGCATCCGCGCCGACCTCCTCAAGCGCGCGCAAGAGTTCAACATTGCGCTCGAGGACGTCTCCATCACTCACATGACCTTTGGCCGCGAATTCACCAAGGCTGTTGAGCAGAAGCAGATTGCGCAGCAGGACGCCGAGCGCGCGCGCTTCATCGTCGAGAAGGCCGAGCAGGAGCGCCAGGCCTCTGTCATCCGTGCCGAGGGTGAGGCAGAGTCTGCAGAGACTATCTCGAGGGCCGTGGACAAGGCTGGTGACGGTTTGATCCAGATCCGTCGCATTGAGGCGGCGAAGGAGATTGCGCAGACGCTGGCGAGTAACCCGAATGTGTCGTATCTGCCTGGCGGTGGGAAGGAGGGTGGCAGTGGGGCGAATATCTTGTTGGGGTTGAGGAATTAGGGTAGGGTAATGATAGGAAAAGCAGGTAGATGTCAGCCTACTACTACTACTTCTGCCAAGTAAAGTATTACTGCTGCATAGCTACATGTTGTAGTTAAGCCCTGAGTGACATTGCATTTGTAAATTTTCAATTAAGGGAAGGGAATCAAAAATGGGCGGGGGGTTTGTGGTGGGGCGGGACTTTTTTCTTCTTTCTATCCTTTTGCTTCTTTCCAGTACATAGCTTCTTCTTTTTTTTGTTTTTTACTACTCTACTATGAAGATCGCAAATCGCCACTTCTTCAATTGATCACAATTGCCATCTTTTCTGTTCCAAGCGCCCAGCTGTGATTCGCTGTATGTAGCAAGCCAGTCAACCACCCACCCAGCCTCGGCCCGGCATGGCAGTTAGCAGCAGCACAGCACCCCAGCCAAAAGCTTGCTTGACACGTCCCCCGTCGCGCCAGCTCCCAACAACCTTTCCTCCCTTCTCTTCCCCTCCACCACCTCTTCCAACCTCCAATTCACCCATAACCCCCCCCAAACCAAACCACACACACACAAAACCAAACCCCCTATACACACAAACAACACACACCATGGCCTCCTCCTCCGGCAACCCCGTAACCCGGCGTCTCCTCAAAGAGCTCTCCGCCTACCGCTCCGAACCCAACCCCTGCCTCGAGTCGCTCGAGCCCGTCTCCGAGGACGACCTCCTGCACTGGCAGGCGCTCCTTAAGGGTGTCGAGAACACGCCCTATGAGGGCGGCAAATGGAAGATCGATATAAAGATCCCGGCGAACTACCCGCATGCGCCCCCGGTCATGACGTTTCTGACGGGGATTTGCCATCCGAATGTGCATTTGAAGGCATGTTTTCTCTCTTTTTCTATCCCTATCTCTTTGTGTTGGTTGGCCCGGGAGAGGGTGGGAGTGGTAGGGGGCTGACAATGGGTGGTGGGGGGAAACAGACGGGCGAGATATGCCTCGACCTGCTAAAGGGAGCCTGGTCGCCCGCCTACACCATCAGCACGACGCTCACGGCGATCCACCAGCTGCTGCAGAGCCCCGAGCCGGACTCGCCGCTGAATGTGGATGCGGCGTCGGTGCTGCGGACGGGGGACAACGTGGGGTATGAGAGCCTGGTGAGGCTGTGGGCGGTCTTGCATGCGGGGAAGCAGGGGAGCTTTAATATGGTGGGGTAGATATGCATGGGCATGAGTGAGAGAGAGAGAGGGGGGGGTGTAGGAGTGTAGGGGTGTAGGATAGGGCGTTTGATGTTTATTAAAGAAGTAATGAAATATATATATCGTTTGGGGAAGTGGTGGTTTTGTTGCATGGGAGGTTTGAAGGTTAGTGTCTATGCTTGGTATGGTGGCTATACTATGTAAAGGCTATAGATGTCCGTATAAACAGTACCGTATTTTGCTTTCCGTAACTGGATATACCATCAGATGATTATTTAGGAGAATAGTAGTGAGAATAGTACTAAATGCCAGATTGGGGCGGTTTATTACCGGTTAGTAGGGTAAATGACATAGATTACAGGAACCATTTTGACCGACGCCCGGCAAATATTATATGCACGCAGCTGGCCCATCAATCATCAACATAACTGCATGATTTGACTTTAATAATATCGGCAGAAATGTCAAGTCTCGATAATACAAATAACTCCATACAAACCAACCAACCCCACTTCCTAAAATATTAGGGCTCATGCAACCCGGCGAACAAAAAATGTTAGGCCTCCTACCATAACCCCAACGTCCCAATACGCCCCCCATGATCTACACTGAATTATTCCTTTCTATATCAGTGTCAGGGCAGAGTAAGCCCTATTAATCCTGTGCCTAAAGATACATATGTCTATCAAAGCCGTCGGACGGTATTTACACATGTGCTCCGTTTCCTCCAATCAGTCATCCACCAGCCTCCAGCACGACCTCAATCACAACACATCACTCGCCCACAACCTCCACGCGCTCTGGCCAGCTTAACTCGCTCCTATCCACGCTCCCGATCGCTCTTCTACTCTCAGTTAAGACCCTACATCTGACTTTACGAACTAACCTGCTTCTCCCAGCCAGACACAAATTCTTGGCAGTGAAGGCAGCTCAAAAAAAAAAAAAAAAGGTCTATTGGTATTCTCACTAATCCAGAGAACCCAATAGTTAGTGAGAATAGCAAAAGAACAGCTTCATTGAAGCCCCACGCGGGGGTCGAACCCGCAACCTTGAGATTAAGAGTCTCACGCTCTACCGATTGAGCTAGCGAGGCATGGATGTGTGGGTAGGGTAATGAGCTTTATTGTAATTTTTTACGCCGCTTAGCGTGGGGCCGGGTGGGTCCCGGCGTGGTGCGGTGTGTACTAGTAGTGTTATAAAGTGGTTCTGTCGTGGTCGTTGGGGGCATAGCTTGTCACGGTGGTGTTGATGAGTATGGGTTGGGTACGTCTGCTAGTAGTAGTAGTGTTTGGATACAGTACAGAACCGAACAGGATATTGAGCAGTATTTGATCAGGCAGACCGGCCGTATTTCTCAAAATTGAATTTTATCAATCACATACACAGTCTCACCCTAAAACCCCAATCTCAACTACAGAGATCACACGCCACAAGGTTCCCATGAATACCCGTGTCAATGATAACTACACATTCTCAGAACCATACAGGATTACCCGCCTGTTTTGGGGAGTATAGTACTAGATCTCACGTTTTTCTAATACGTACCCTTATAATTAGCTAGCTAGAACTGTAGAACACGACGGGGAAGTGGGTTACAAAATTTCAAATGATCTGGATTTATAATATAGAGGGATAGATAGATAGATGTGCCGCCTAGCTAGCTATAGTCTGAGAGATATCAACCACTAGACAAGTAAAAAAAGGCCCATTCCCGCCCTCTTACTAGAATTACCACCCAGAGCTAGAAAACACCACCCCACCATCTCACCACTACAGAGCTAGAGGCACCCAGGAGACGGTTAACAAATAATTCACAGCCAAGCTCCACAAGTACACAGACCAGAATCCAGCAGAAACACAAAGCAGAGCACTCCGACGATATAGCTCAATCGGTGAACTGTCTAAACGCTATAATCTTACGGTAGGCTTTCTTCGATCTTTCCGTCTTCATACCTACCGGCCCGCATCCTCCGCCTCCACTGGCCCGACCCCTAACCCCAACATGCCACTACGATCATCTCCACCAGCACCCCAGAGCAATGCCAAGACTACCCAATTCCACATATCGATCATTTCCACTCCCCCCCACCATCACCAACCCCACCGCCTACCACTACCGCCCGCACATCACCACAGCACGCAAGAGGCAAGAGACAGGATACTCAGTATAGTAAGCTCGAACATTAACCCCCAATCACATTACCGCCTTTAGCTATCTAACCTATCCCATCTACTATACTATCCACAATTTTTTTACTCCCCCTCCGTCTCCCTCACCGGCTCCTTCACCGGCTCCTCTCCCTCCCTGTCTCCCTCCTCCTCCCCCCCCCCCCCCCCCTCCTCCACCACCACACTCCCAAACAACCCTCCTCCGACCACTACAAAAAGATAAAGTAAAGAATATACACAGCCAACCAAGCCAAACCAACCTCTAATTACCACCACGCCCATAACCGGCATAACACTAAGTACTCCATCCCACCCTACCCAATCCTATCCCAATCCTGCCCAATCTGAACCTCCATATCTTACTGCCCCACCCCCAATTCCCATTTTTTTGTAACTGACTATTAAGAACCAGGATAGAATACCGACCTGACCAGACCCGACCAATAATGATGATGATGACGATGATGAGAGAGAGAGAGAGAGAGAGAGGAAGAAAGAACAAAAGAGATGCGTTGCGTCGTTACGGTCGTGTTCAGACATAAGAATACCGTACCCATGAAGGCCAGGAAGAAAGAAGAAAGAAGAAAGAAGAAAGAAGAAGAAAGAAGGAGGGTGAAAATGGTGATTATAATAAATCCCCACTCCTTCAAGTTCATCCACGGAAGGATAAAGCAAAGTTAAAAAGAGGAAGAAAAAAAGAAGAAGGAAGAAAAAAAGAAGAAGGAAGAGATAAAATAAATACACCCTTCTCAATCGATCCCGCAGATGAGATACTACCTACCTACCTATCATACCTACCATCAGCACAACGTCCTCCCAGCGCACAAAAATCAGAAGCAACTATAATACACCCCCCAAACGCAAACCTAAACCTCGCCCTCCGTCACCGCACACAGTCCTCTCCACAACTCCCTCGCCTCCCTCACCCACGCAAACCTAACGCCCAGCTCCTGCACCTCATAAAACACCTCCTCCGGCGCCACAACCTCGCCCCTAATCAGCGCCGTCACAAATAGCACAATCAGCTGCACGGTTCTCGTCTGGACCCTCTTCCCACCGCTCTCCTCCTCCGCGGCACGGATGGCATTATTAAGGTATCCATGCAGAAGATGGCTCTTTTCCTGCGCGCCCAGAAGCCCAACCTCCATGAGCACGCGGTTCACCAGATCCAACATTCCGAGTGCTACCGGCAGCCCCGCAAGCGTCCCTAGCACCTCCGCACGCCGCGCCAGCGACGTAGCCTCGAGCAGGAGCACGACGATGCCGCGGGCCAGAACGGGGTTGCAGGAGACGTATGCGGCGAGCGTAGACACCGAGAGGAAGTCAAGCGGGTAGGCTGAGAGGAGGCTACGGTTAGTCGAGAGATGCGTCAGCAGATTCTGGGTGAGCTGTGTGGGGAGCGGGTCCGTCGTGGCCTTGAGGAGGAGCGCCGTCAGCTGGTCGGCCGGTGTGGGGGTCGCTGGGGGCGATGCCGCAGACGAATACCCGGACTCGTCGGTCGAGTTCTCGAGCAGGCTGCTATACGAGGGCTCTGGTTCCTCTGGCTCTGGCTGTGGCTCTGCCGCCGCCGCCGCAGGCTCCTCATAGTCGTCATAGATGCCCTGGGCATGCAGCGCAGGCATGAATGCTGCGAGGTCGACTGGGAAGTCGATGCCACGGGACGCACAATCATGGGGCGTGAACTCTGCCAACTATCACACCACACATCACATCAATCAGCAAACATTGCTCACCACACACACCCTCACAAGATCAGAAACCAAAAACGCACCTTCGGCCCCTCCTCACACAGAATGCCCCTCACAAATGCCACCCTAATCTTCAGCACCTTCTCCCTGACGCCCCACACGGCGGTGCGCTCCCTGCGCTCCCACTCGCGCCCCACCGTGACCCAATGGAACAAGCTCGGGTTCTCCAACACGCTGCACCCCTGCCCGCGGTACAGCTCCCACAGCATGAACTCTGCGTTCAGCATGAACCCCAGCAGCTCCTGCGCGTGCTTCACGTCGCCATTGCCATCGCCGTCGGCCCCGTCTCGGCCGCCAAGCTGCTGCAGGAGGGCGGTGGGGTGCGGCGACTCGGAGAGGTATAGCAGCGTGGTGTGCAGCTCGCACACGCGGCTGAAGGGCTCGGCGTGCACCGACTCTTGTTTGAGGAAGGAGTGGGCTGTGGAGGCGAAGGTCGTCGTGAAGGCGGAGAGGAGGTGGATGAGGTCGGGCGAGAGCGTGTCGTGTGAGATACGCATGGTTGCTGGCTTGGATATCTTGGTGGATGGGTGGGTGTGTCTGTTGTTGTGGTGGTGGTTAGGTAGTGATGGTGTTGGGGGGAGGTTGGCCTTATATCTTGACCGAGCGGGGTGGTGGTGGTGGTGGTTGTAGTGAGTGGTGGGTGGTGGGTGGTTGTAGGTCGACGACTGCAACGTTAACTACCACACAGGTATGTCCAATCTCTCTTCTTGTTCTTCAACAACTGCTGCTGCTCCTGCTGCTACTACTGCTACTCAGATAGTGCTGCTTCTGCTTCTTCTTCTTCTTCTTCTCCAAGCTTAGACAGACAGGGGGGGGGGGGGCGTCGATGTCTGTCTCAGTTGCTGGCCTATCTCTACCTCTACTAGTATTTATCTAGCCGAGATCGAGATGCAACAATCAATTGCAATTGGGGGGGATGAAGAGAGTGAGCGAGAGCGAGAGTGAGAGTGAGAATGAGAGGGGTGAAGAGAATTAAAGGAGTGGAGAAGACAAGAGGCCAGAGTGATATCAAGAGGACAGAGAGAGACACCTTCTTACTTCTTCCTCTTCCTCTTCTTCCTCTTCTTCTTTCTCTTCTTCTCAACCTTCCCTTTTGTGTATAGCTCCAGGGGGGCTGGCTGGCTGATACGTAAAGTCCAAGTCAAGTCGGGTGCGGGCCGTAGGTAGCAACATGGCAACCCTAACCCATGAGCCATGACATGTGGAGTGCACGATACGATCATTCGTGCACTCCGAGTGCCTAAGTAGCTAGGGTCTTTCTATTTATTTTTTTGTTTTATTTTTTTGACTTGCAGCAGGTACCGCTCTACAGCCCGTGCTTTGCTTGAGAATTGATAGACAGAGCAGAGCACGACTGTGATCTGAGTGAATCCCTGACATGTTTTGTTCCACTGGTAGAGTACGTTCAGGATCGAAGTGCAGTTTAGCCATTGGCTAGCTGGGGGAGAGAATCCTCGAGGGGGAGCCTCTATCTAGTTTCTTCTCCTTCCCCCTTAAATAGGGCTGGGCTGCATTAATACTGCGTGCACAGCTGAGAGTAATTATACAAAGGGTTTTGATTATTCCCCAGCAAGCACAAGCACAAGCACACATTCACAAATCACACGATAACGATAACGATAAACAGAACAGAACAGAACAGAACAGCCCCGTCGTACGTGCGATAAAGATAAGATAAAAAAAATAAGTTATAGTAAAGGTAAAGGCAAAAAGCGCATCATTTCCGTTCATTACAGTCATACACAAAAAAAATAATACAAAAAAAAACCCAATACCAGTATACCAGTCAGTTAATTACCAGTAAGAAAGAAAGAAAAAAGCCCAAAACCCAGCCTAGCCTAGCTCCGAATAGATTCACGCTCCGAAACGAATAAAAGCCGTCCGTCCGTCCGTCCATAACAAGACCGAGAAAAGGATATGAAGAAGAAGAGGAAGAAGAAGTAACCGCGTACAAAGGAAAAGAGAGAATGTGTTTGTGTTTCCCAGCACAGGCTAGTCAGCTAGGCAGGCTGGTTGGTCGTATGATGAGCAAGCCTATCCTGCTGCTGCTGCTGCTGCTGGATTATCGTATTAAGCCCCCCACTCTCTTCCCCCCAAAACTATGCCATGCTAAATATGCCCTTTATCGTTCGAACGGTGGGGTACGGACGATGGATGGTTCGCTGGTCTAGTATTTGAAGATGATGTATCTAGCGGAACAGCAACATTAGCAAACCCGAACTCCATAGAATAGCAGTAATGAAAATAGGAAGAAGAAGAAGAAGAGCTTACAGAGCGTGAATGATACCGGGCAGGTATCCCAAACATGTAAAGATAATGTTGATCAGAAGGTCACCAGTGCATCCGCGCTCAAGGAAGACACCTAGCGGAGGCAGGAGGATGGCGAGAAGGATCTTGCAGATATCACTGAGGGGCCGCGCATTGCATGTTAGCGGAAATTCCAAAGGAGAGAAAGAGAGATAGAGAGAGAAGGGAACAAAACTCACGAAGCAGTGAAGGCCATTGTGGATGTTTTTAGGTTTGTTTTGTTTTTTTGAGTACAGTAACTGTAGTTATTGAGTGGATGTGTGGTGTGGTGTGGTGTTCGATAGACTTTGGATTTAAAGCTCTTGTTGAATTGATTGACCGAGCGAGAAGAAGAAGCACAGTGGAGGAGGAGGAGCCCTTCTTTATGTATTTGGCTGACGGGGCTCCGAAAGAGAAAGAAAAAAATCCTGTGGATAGCAAGGAACTAGCACTTCTCTCACTCACTTCCACTGGCTGCTGCTGGATAACGGTAACGTCATAGCACCTGGAATCACCCTCCCTCCCTCCCTCCACCCCTGCCTGGTCTCTACTCTACTCTACCGCCACAACCCACTTTCTCGGCTATGTCGGAGCAGATCGCGTGGCTCAGCGTGTGGCGGTTCTTATGTAACGCGTCATGATTGGCAAGACGTCATTTCTTAATTTTCCAGGAACAGCCAAAAACTTATTTTTGGGGGAGCTGCTCTTGCTCTGGAATTGATTCTTTCTTTCTTGCAAAGAGAAGTCATGTCAGTCAGTCGTTCCTTGCAAAGTACTCTACTAAGAGTACGGATGTTGCGCATAGTGAGTGTGCCTCGTGATTAATATTCACGGTTTCGAAAAAAAATACATACATACGTACGTAGAGCCTTTTTTCAAGCAAGCAAGCACACAGCACGCAAGGGAGGGGATCGAGGCGGGAAGGGCACTCAAAGGAGATACAAAGTTAAATCCCTATCACACTACCTACATACTCTACTCTGCTCCATCTCGGGTTCTGCAAAGGCCGGCGACAAAGTTGGTTGGTTGTAATTGTCTTGGAAACCCACTTCGGACGCGTGGAACCCGGGAGTACTGAGCTTGGTGAAGTTTTCCCTTTCGACCCCTCCCCAAACCCAAAGGTTTCTTTTCTTAGCAGTCTGGTCTGACTGACTGACTTGAAGATGTCTGGCTGGGCATGTATGTATGTATGTATGTATGTCTGGGCATGTAATGTAATGTATGTACGGCGGACGTTTACTGATCTTCGTGGGATATGGCGCCACATGTTCATGGCATCTGGATCTCTTGCATGAGGAACATTGGCATCCGCGCGTTCTTCTTCTGGGCATGCATAGGAACCCATGGGTCGAGGTGAAGAAGAAGCATGTTGACAGATACAGACAGTGCTCTGCCGCAGTACTCCGGAGCAAGCAGGTAGGTAGAGTACTCGTAGCTTTATAGCGTTTCCGAACACAACTAATATTGCATGACATACAAAAAGGTGGATTTGGCGCTTTTTCGTATGTCATGCAATATTAGTTGTGTTCGGAAACGCTATAAAGCTACGAGTAGATAGGTAGATACTAAACTCCGTGTAGGTACATAATCGATCGTGGTATTTCCACCTGGAACTGTACCTATACGTGCCCCATGTAGGTAGAGTACTTAGATACCTACATACCTACATATCTAGAGTATGTACTTAGGAATCGTGAGACTTCCCTGAAATACTGCAACCAATAACCAATCCTCAACATCTCCGGAATTCGGCGGGCGAGATCGTCACCTCCACTCCCTCCGCTCCAGCACCGGTGACTTACTTAACTTTCTGCCTTGCATACCATAACAAGCTTCTCTTCTCTTCTCGTGATACCGAAAATCCCCAAAGGGGGAGTGGGTGGTGTTCATTATTATTAACATTGCCCGGGAAAGTGCACAAAACCTGTTGAGCGAGAATCCTGTTATTGAACCAGCTGCGCTGCCAAGGCTGGTTTGGTTCACAATGCTTGGACTGCTCCGACGCGTGCCTGGACAGATAATTAGATAATTCGTCTGATAGAGAAGGAGGTGGATAAACAGAGTAGGTGATGGGAAGTGCAGCTTTTTGGGTGGTGTGCTGACGCATTGGTGCTTTGGATAGGGCAGACGTCAACTGATTTGTTAGCAGTCGAATCCAGCCTGGGAGGGGGGGACTTACACACCTCATTGCCCTCATGGATCTGGGTCTATACAACAAAGCTCTGGAATGTAGAGTATACGTATTCCATAACGAGTTCTGTTCTCGGCATTTGTGCTTTGCAGTTGCTTCCTAGCTAGCACCGAAGTCTTTATAATTATCCTAGTTGATCTCGAAACGTACGGGCTGTGATCTAAGGGCTAGAATCGAATCGGATTGATGGTGTATGTCGATGTCAGTTGAAACAATTGCAACTTGAACTACATATACTCAGCAGTTACAATGGAAAGAGCACGGCAGAAAAACAGCTCTAAAATACCAATGAGAATAGAACGTTGGTGTCTTCAATTGCTTATATACCACATACATAGCTTAAACCTCCTATGTAGTGGCCACTGCATGCCAATAATCGATATTCAGGAACGAGCTCTAGTATAGATCCACAGCATATAAGCATATCTGTACCTGTGCCTGTGCCGCCAGATCTAGAAGATAAGGTTTATGCGCGGGCACACTCGCAATCCACAGCTAGCCAGATCCCCCCAGGCTTCTCGTACATCGCGGAGCTCCCTCCGCGCCTTCTCTGTGGTTCCCTATCCTGGCGAACATGATCTGATGTGTTCTATTTCGATTCTCGCAAAGCTTCTTTCTACAGAGCACGTGACAGAATGACGCGTCAGGCAGAGCATTATTGGGGACACTGCAAGTTCGACTAGAGAGGATACATGTAGTGAGTGGACTTAGCAGTTGAGGCCTCGGCCAACAGGACCAAGGGTGTGAGGACGATTATACGAGACTGCCGATTGGGGTTAGTCAATAGTTGGCAGCACTGTATTCAAAATTCATAGCTAGAGAGAAGTTAACAGCTATACCAGATAATCTGGCATATCTTCATGCCGTTCAGAGCTGGACTCTTCCTCTATACAAGTCATCAACCCACTCGAGTTTCCATTACACTAAGTGTGACTTTCAAAACAGTTATCTATCGAGACCAGCACCATCGTGGTCCCTACCGCACCAACCAATTAAATCTTTCCAACTCCTCAGGCAACTATAAGGTTCAATCCACTGCTTGTATACCTTGTATAATTTGTTAATCTTACAGGTGCGTTTCTACAATAGGGCAAGCCAAGGGGTTCTCTTTGGTTTTGACTGTAGACGACCTCCCTAGCCACTCGGACACCCCCTCACTCAGATAGTCAATCATGATTGGCTGAAAAGAGGTACTGAAGCCACTTAAAACGTTGATCCTTTCTTTTCTACGTTAACTGTCCGAGTCCGAATGGTCCGGGAGCGTCTATACCACGGACGACTGAAATGGAGAATTTGTAATTGCAGAGAATCAATATTAGAAGATATTCCAAACTGCAGCTGGAATTGGAAGCCTAAGGAGTCCTAAATCTCCAATTCAACTCCCAGGTTGGTCCCGCTTAACCGTTAGTTACATAGTTAGTCAGCAAATATATCATTTCCCAATTGAGTATCTTAATTGAGGCTTGATATATATCTATGTGATGTCCTCCTTCCTGTCTTTGTCTTATCGCAAGTTAACTCCTCCTCTCACAGCTTTGAAATTCCGATATATACGATTTCCTCATTGTTGATTGACTGCGCCCAGGCCCAATTCAGTCACCAAAAGGGATGATCGATATGGTTGTGAATCCAAAATAAAACGCGGGTTATGTAAAAAATCCCACAAGCGATCTTGCATAAAGAGAATACTTCCCAAGCTCACAACCTCCAAACCCCCACCACCCCACCACCCCACCCCACCACCCCGCCATCCACAATGTCCACCAACAACCCCACCCCCTCCGACCGCCGCCGCGGCTCCCGCAAATCAGCACTCAAAGCCGCCGTCAAACCGAAATACAAACCCACCGCGCGCGCGCCCCCGCCCCCGCGCAACACCAAAGAATCGCAAGAGATCCTCGACCTTTTCCACCATGCGTTCAGCCCCCTGTTCACGCCGCAGCTACCAGAGCTGCTGCAGAAGGTGAAGACGCACCTGTTCAACCGCGACTTCCTGGCGGCCTTTGGCGCCCCGGAGAACCTCGAGGCGTATGTGGTGCGATGGAGCCCGAGCAGGGCGCTGTGCTACCGCGAGGTGTTTCTCGAGCTGTCGCCCGCGCTCAGGAGGGTGTTTGAGCTCAAGGGAGAGGGGGAGGAGGGGGAGAGGGTTGAGATTGTGTGTATTGGTGGAGGCGCGGGGGCGGAGGTTGTGGCGGTCGCGGCGGCGGTGAAGAGCTTGATGAAGGCCGAAATGGCAGCTGCGCCTGTAACTGCAACTGAAATTGCAGAGGAGGAAAGCAAGGCAGGGGAGAATACGGCCGGGGACGAGGAAGTGAGCGGGGAGCCTGAAGAGGCCGCAGAGGAGGGCCCAGACGAGGCGAAAGCTCTTGAAAAGGACCTCGAATCATTGGCCCTCACCCCCGCCTCCCCACCCGCAGCCGCCACAACCTCCACCCCCTCGCGCTCACTGCACATGACCGCCATCGACATCGCCGACTGGACACGCATCACCACAACCCTCACCACCGCGCTCACCACGGTCCCCACGCCCCCACGCGCCGCATACCTCCCGCGCGGTGTCTACAGCGTCGATTTCCACCACCACGACATGCTCGCGCCCTCCGCCACGGCGCTGATTCCGCCCTCTGCCCGCCTCATCACGCTCCTGTTCACGACGAACGAGCTGTACACGCAGTCGCGCGGCGCGACGACAGCCTTCCTTCTTGCGCTCGGGGAGCGCGTGCGGAGCGGGTGTCTGCTGCTGGTGCTGGAGAGCGCGGGGAGTTACTCGACGGTCACGGTTAATGGGAGGGTGTTTCCGATGGGGATGCTGCTGGATCATACTCTCCTGGCGGGGGAGGCGTGGGAGAAGGTGCTGGGTGAGGAGGCGAGGTGGTTTAGGCTGCCGGAGGGGCTGAGGTATCCGATTGAGTTGGAGAATATGAGGTATATGGTGAGGGTGTATAGAAAGACTTGAATGTGGCCTTTTGGGTGTGTTTTTTTTTGTAGGTAGGGGGTAATTAATTGAAAAGTTCTTTTTTCTTCTTTTTTTCTTTTCTTCTGCTGGTGTTTGTGCGTGGGATGGGTGGGTATTTTGGTTAGTTGAATTGCTGGTGCTGATGCTTTTTGAAGTTTTGATGGGGCCAGATACTCTAGGGAATGATATTGGATTATAATCTACTAATTGACAAGGGATTTGTTAGTACTAGCCACCCATTGGCCCCCATAAAAAGACCCATGGCATATCTACATGCCATAGAACAATACAATATTACAGCTCATCAATTCGAACGGACAGAACAAAGCTGTTCTAACTCTCGTTGTGTTGTGCACGTCTACTCTACGATATTATATACAGACATCTCGTCATCATAAAAACACACACACATCAAAATACAAAAAAACATTTTTGTATTTTTGCATTTATCGATAAGTAACGACAGTTATATCAAATTGTACATGTGTATATAAAAAAAGAGAGGCATATACCACATAACCCGAGCAATTAAGGACCACATTACCAAACCGTGCCGGCCGGACAGTAATAACGAAACGACAGGCACCCTCCACCCCCCAGCCAATAAGCCAAGCTAGATCAAGACCCAAAGCAAACCCCCCGCGTCAGACGGAGACCTCATACCTCTTACTCACCGCCATCCAGCTCGCCATCCCATTCGCAAAGCCCATGATAAGCTCCAGATACCTCTGCACGTCCACATCAGGCATCAACCTCTGCCTCTGTCCGGGGGCCGCCATGAAGCTCGCAATACTGCTGCGGTTCGAGCGCACCGTCGCACCGTACGTGTAGGTTCCCGGGCCGCCAATATCGTCGCCGGCGGTGAGTGACTCGATCCATGCGCGCTCGCCGTAGTGGAAGAGCTGCCGCACGAGCTCGTTGTGGGTCTCGACGACGTCGGCGAAGGCGCTGCTGGGCGTGGCGCCGTGGAGGATGAGGATTTGGATGGCGTTGAGCGGGTTGGAGAGGGCGAAGTCTTTTTCCCAGCCTGGGTGGGGTGGGGTTAGTTGGTTGTGGATGGGGGATTGAGGTGGGGGATTGGGGATTGGGGTGGGTTTGGGGATATATACCTAGGATGTCGTTTTGGAGGCCCATGATGAGTTGGAGGAGGCGCTCGACTTTGGCTAGGGTAGCGTCGTAGCCGCGGCGGTGGTCGGAGGAGGGTGTTTGGTCTTCACGTAGTGGGTTTCCGAAGTTGGACATTGTGAGGTCGAGGTTTAGGCTTGCCTTTGCGAGGATCATGAATGGGCGTACTGGTTCAATATTAGTACCGCATGGGAGAGTTCATATAAAACGAGGAAGCAATTAAAACTACACACCAGAAATCGTGATCATCCTCACGGGCATCCAGTCAGACAGCTCAATCCTGTCCGCTGAAAGGAGCGGTCTCTCGGCCCTAAAGCCAGCAATGACCTCCTTGACGGCATTGTTGAATGCGACTTTCCAGGGAGCGGAAACGACGCCGGATTGGTAGTAGATGGAGGTTGAGTCGATGACGGTGCGGAGGGCGTGGGAGACTTGCACGGCGTCGCTGTCTTTGTGGAAGTAGTTGAGACAGTCCATGGAATCTCTAGGCGTGTTGAAGACGAGCATTAGGTCAGATTCTGGTATTCAAGTGTCAGCTATCTGTACTTTTTTTTTGTGCGTATGGACGGTGTAGTGGGGGCACGAAATTACCGGTTTGCTCCCATTCGTCCCCAACGAGATGCTCGGTCAGATCTATATGTAGTAGACAAGGCGGGGTGTTAGATTGAAGCTACGCATTTTTCGAACATGATGAGGGAGAAATTGTTTACCGTCAATCACACATAACCAAATCCAGAAGCAGCACGCAACATATCTCATATTCTCCTCCGTCTTCCCATACGGAAACAGCATCGCAACCAACCCCAGCGGACTAGCCTTCTGCGAGATATCCCGGCAGCTCTCCGGCAGCATCGAAACGAAGCTATTAAAATTACATCCGTCTCCTAGCTGGTATCCCTCCCTCACATACGGGCCCGCACTCCTCGGCGCGCTGGCAGGCAGCATCAGTTTGACGGCTTTGTCCCCGAGGGTTTTGATTCTGAGCTTGATGGGCGACTGGTGGAAGTGTTTTTCGTGCAGAAACCCGGAGCTCGACGACGACGACCAGCCCGGGGAGATGCGGGCGAGGGAGTAGCAGAGCTCAAGGAGGGTGGAGATCTGGTCGGTTGAGGAGAAGAGTTTCTGGCGGAGGGGTGCTAGGGTAAGGTGGATCTGGGATAGCCCTGTGAGATCGTATATTGCGGCGAGTTTGTTTTTGAGTTTTTGTTTCATTGTGGGTTTTGTTTGGTGTATTTGAGGTGCGGTGGAAAAAATTGTCGTGAGTGGGTTGGTCATGTTGAGGAAAGAGGCCGAGGGTTAGTTGGGTATTTGCGATAAATACTGGGCATTTGGTATTAGTGAGTGCTGTGTTTTGGGGGGTTGGAACTTTACCCTTAGGGCAAATAACGTCTTTAAGTTTTCTGGACGCTTTTCTTAACCCAATTAACACGAAGCCAAGGCCCGATGGTGCGGTGTGTATAAATTATATGTATATGTATATCGTGTCAGGATATAGATCCGGGGGGACGCCCTGATTTTTGTGGGGGGTCAGACTATAGCTACATATATATCTAAAGTAATAATATTCGAATCCCTAAATGCAATAATTGACCCCGCGAACAGATCCATTTCCAGGTCGGATGGATACCTGAACAAGTGATTCTTCCCGACGGCACTCTGACATGGATTTTTTAAGATCCTAGGTTTAAATTGTCTGCATATAGGAACGAGGCAGCTTGAGTTAAGTAGAGGAGTCAAGAACATATTACGTGTGTACGACGTTGTCCCAGAATGTAAATGATTGGTTTACATGATTTTGGGCGTAAGCGCATACCCCAGATATTATATATAATTTTTCCCTTAATTTTTCCCAATTGATATCTATATAAAAGAACCGTCTTTTGACACCCTCATTGAGGGGATAATCTGAAATATTGCCGGCTCAGTATACTGCCCTAACGAGCTGTAACAGACTTTCATAGAGGATATCGATATCTATAGTTGATAATTTCTAATGAACGCTAGTACTTATTGATCCTAATTAAGAATAGGTATTGTTAGTGGTGATGGTTACTAGAGTAATTCAAAAACTCTACGTACCAGCTATTTGTGTGTATATAGGATTCAGAGCGAAAGGTCAGAGCAACGTTGAGACTTCATCCACTGATACTTTGAGGCCCTGTGGACCCTTGAGGTTTATGAGCTCCTAGATTGTCGTATTCTTCCTGGATTATATAAAGACGAGAAAGCGGGCATTTCTTTCATAGAGACTCTCAAAACCTGTCACACTATGAACCCAGCTCAAACCATGTCAGATTTTTCGCGGGCAACGTCTTCTAGGCATACCTCACTGCGGCCGGTTGAAAGCAATATCATACAACCGGCCAGTCGCATGTACATATATTCACAGCCGCCGCTATAGCTTGGGATGATTCTTATCCATCTGGTTCATTCGAATGGCATGTGTGTTATCTTCAGCCATAGCTCTAGGTTCGAATGAACAAAAGGTCAGACGTGCCGGCCGGTTGATGATTTCTTAAGACTGAGGATTCTGAAAACTAGAGTCCCATAGTAGATTGAGATGATGAAGGTCATCCTCTTGGTTGGTGGTTATTTAATATGAGCTCCGCTATGTGGTTTTGTTAAGTTCCCTTCGATATATGTATTACGAACTATTATCCACAGTGTCTTTTTGAAGTTGACACATCGTTCCATTTCATGCTCCACACATTTGAAGTGCCGAGTACTTGCTCAGCAGGGGGACTTTAGCGTAAGGGGACTCACACGAGCGTGTGGTCAACTCTTCAACATCGGTTCATGTCTGTCTTCCTTCCCACCCTTCCTACTTAACCTTCTCCTGTACGCTTGCTTTCGCTCTATCTTTCATCACAAACCGCCTTTTAACATCTAGCAGAACTATTGGCCCAGCTTGATGCTGTACAGATACCTCAACTCTAGGATCAACCTTCGTCAAGGCTGGAAGACCTCATCTGGAGAGCAAACCCCTCAACCCGCTCAACTCTATCAAACCCCACCATGGCCATGCTGCACGGCTATCCGTTCTCACCGACCCAAGAAAACAAACAGTATGGAGGACCCAGATATATCCAGACCGAACTGACGCAATGCCATCGGTATGAACTACCATGCAATGGGCAGCCACGAAAAACTCTTCTGTAAGTGCTGTCCTTGACACAAGGGGTGATCAACGTCGTCAAAGTGGCTTTCCGTACCCAGCGAAGATTCGGCACGCTGCATAAAGATATCTTCAACACTATGCCTGTAGCTACCCGCAGTCCTTGAACAGCCCTTGGGTATCCTGGGGGGTTTAGACGATTGCACTACATGCCATGATCGTGATCATGGATACCTGTGAGAGCACATGTACTATGTACTTTGTGTACAGATACATCTAAATGCATCTAGTGTATCATAGACCCACAGGAAATATGTATCTACACTACACGCGTATACACACGAAGAGTGATACGTATACTCTGTCTTAGGAAGCGGTCAGAGCAAGACAGACGAACTCATTATCCTTTTTCTCACGGACATGAGTTCCACGACTCTGCGGCCGTTCACTCGACATTTTCACCAGAGACATACTACTCCAGCTGTACGGCGTCATAAAGTTTGTATGACACGGAAGAAAAGGTTTAGTGCTGTGTGGCAGGTGGCATTCGACCCTGCAAAAAAAAAAAAAAAAGACTCAGCGGACGGGATCGGCTTTGGGTTCTTGATAGAAGCTCAATACCTGAAAAGTGTGTGGATAATAAACGATTTTGCGGTCATTGAACGTTTTATAACTGATGCAATTAATGAATTAAACAAAAAAAAAAAACCGTGTTACAACTGCATCGTAGTTCGAGTGATATGATATGATCAAACTTGTCACTACATTGGATTTTTAATTATAGAGATGATACATGAATCAGAGAAATATAAAAAGAAAGATCAGTCAAATAATACCGAGCCTCGAAATCAAGACAGCAATTGCCCCTAACTTAGGTGGAGAAATAGGTTGGCCCCATTCCGTGCTCAATAACTGGAGTCCCGTATTAGGGAGCTACATGATGAAGCACATCCTATTTCATCGCGAATCATGTGCGAGGGCGTTTCTGCCGCTCGTTGCCCCGGATTCGCGCGATTTCGGGCCATGTATAGACAGTCAGAAATCTCTGTCATCATTTAAACTATCAATGAACATCTATTGTATTATTCCGACAAAAAATGCAACCATCAGGGCTATAGTAGGCTCGCCCAGTCAGATTATCTCATCAATTACATCACGAGGATTAGAGTGGACTACAGGTCATATATACAGGCTTGGATCCATGTGAAAGAAGCTTATGGACTGGAGTTGACTTTGGTCATACAGTGTGGACTCAATGGGCTTGAACTTGACATATTTCGCACTTGAGCCTGGTAAAATACAGCATAAATCGTTAGTAGAGGTTAACAGGATGATACCAGAGAAACTCTGAAAACTGATTTAAGGACATTATTGAGGGTAGGAGCACCTAATAAGGCCACGCTCTTATATCTACTAAGACCAGCAATTGGCCCATGGAGGTGTTTTCTACTCTTAAGCCTTCCGCTTAGCTCGTGGTAACGCAGCCTCCTCTGATTGGCCTGTTGAGATTGGGGTATCTCGACAAATTCATCGCTAGCGGGCCAATCTTTCCAGTCAGACCGATCATTGACCTGTCACACCACTATCATATATTCTGCTACGGATGTCAATGGTCAATCAGACCCACGCGAGCCTTTCTCAACTATTTTGCCTGCAAGCAAACAAGCCTGAAAATTTTCTCTCCAATTGTTGCACGGCACATTACACGCTAGTAATTAACAATCCGGCTGGTTTCTACTAGTTACTAGCCGATCAGATCAACGTTAACAAACACTCCTGCAGCTGCATATCACCAAACCATTGTCACGGTAACGCTTTCCCACATCACTTCACCCGCATGCTGCATGTCACGCCCGATCCCACTAGCTAGCGGCTCACCCCACCAAACCCCTCAAGACCCTTTTCTCACCCGGATATATATTATTCCATCTCTTTCACGTCCCACGTTCCACCGCCACACACAATCCTCCCCGCATCCCCGATCCCGAGAAAAGGACCCGACACATAACACGTTAGCTCGCGTTTCCCTAACTAACTAGCCCAACTAATTAATCCTACTCCGAGTTTTGCCTGCGCCGCCGATAACTGGGTGATAAGCAGCACCCCGCAACTCCCTACTCCCGCGGGATAAAATCCCGTCTGCATATGGGGGGGGGGGGGGGGGTTCTAGGAAGATCGGGGCCGTGCCGGGGACTGTCGCATCTCAGCTCAAACTTGTGACATTGAAATGAGATAATGGTACTCGTGGTATTGTTGTCCCTGCTTCGACAAGCATGAAAGGCTACTTACTTCTCGTCTCAATCTCGTTCGAGAGTTCCTAGGCAGGCTCTAGGGTGCTGCCGGCCTCATACTTATCGATTAGGACTGTCAATGATAGCGAAGCCACGGTAATAAAAATGGCACTATGTTCTTACATTTTGAAAGATATCTATGGCACTGGAATATCAATTAGAGAATCTTGTGATTTCTCTGCCAAGTCAATTCTGATCTAACAATTGGACGTACTCTATCTCGTTGGCCTACAAAACCCAACAGCGAATACCAAGACATTGCGAACTGGAAGCTTCAAGGCCAATTGGAAAGTTTTATCAGATTCTAAGCTTAAGCTTAAGCTACCTCCCCTCCAATATAAAAAGTAATATCAAAAAGCAACAGCAATATATAGCTAACTATCAGATCCTCTCGATCTAGCTATCTTTTATCAATCAATACCCCCCCCCCCCGGGCCCCCAATCCCCACTCTAGACCCAATTAAAAACCCAGCACACCCCAGTGATTGGCGGCCACAACATAATAACCAACAGACCATATAGACAGTAGACACTAGAAAAAAGCGACTCTCATAACCTAGCCTAGAACAAGACTATATATACTTACCCACCCTTTGAAACATCCCCTAGTATACCCCACACAGACAAGATCAAAGGAATTTAAACTCAACGCCCACGACGAATAAAAACCTGATAAGAGATAAGACAATATATAAGGATGAAATGTAGTAGTAGAAAGACCTCATGGCGCGGCATTCAATACCAAATGCCAGTAAGCTACTGCGAAACAATGGACAGAAGAAACAAACCCAGACTACAATAGACTAAAAGGAAAAAAAAAGAGATATAAGTAAGAGGTGGATATAACACCTATGTAACCCGCAAGACAAAGACAAAAGAAACAAGCCAAACCACAAGAGCCCCAAAGCAATATAAAAAAAAGACAAAAAAGCACCCAAAGCAAAAACACCCGCAGCTAAAAATAAACAGGAAAGGGAAAAAAAAAGGACAAAGACCCAAAGCTAACCCAACCAAACACCACCCTCTAAGTAAACCCCAAAAGACTCATCTGCCTCCTCAACGGGCTACTTCTCCCACTCTCATTATCGCTATAGCACCCGCTATCCGTATCAATATCCCACTCGACAACCCTCTCCCTCCCCTGACCACCCTCCTGTGTGCCCTCCTCCTCCTCACTACTGCCCTCCCACGCCTTCTGCTGCGCAGCCCTCGTGTTCCACCTCAATGTACGACTGACACTATCGATCCACTCAGTGCCCTTGCTCAGCACCGTGGGGAACGGGTACTGCGATGCCGCGATGGTGACATGGTCGCCCTGCTTGAGCTCGATGCGGCCCTTTCCGTCGAATGCGCACCATGCGGTTGCGCGCGAGTTCTTGGGGACCGAGACGCGTAGGAGCATCGAGTCGGTGAGGAGCATGGGACGGAAGGATAGGGTGTGAGGACAGATTGGTGTTAGGAGGACGGCGGGGATGTCGGGGTGGACGAGGGAGCCGCCGGCGGAGAGTGAGTATGCGGTTGAGCCTGTAGGTTAGGCCGTTAGTTTATTTGGGTCTTTATTTAGAGGGTGGGGTAGAGATTAGATGAGAGAGAGTAATACCAGTTGGGGTGGAGAAGATGCAGCCGTCAGCTTGGACGACGGTTAGGAGGTCATCGTCACCGTAGAGCTCGAGGTTGGACACATAAGGTGATGGGCCGCGATCAATGACCAGTTCTGCATGAAGTATTAGCCGGTGCTCCGAGAAGTGGAGTGATTAACCTCGGGAGGCAAGGGGGCCGGTAAGCTTACCATTTAGGACCTCGAACTGATCCCCTTCATTCATCTGCCCATTTTCCTCCCTATAAACCGTGCAGGTGAAGCGCATCCTCATGTTCACCTTCATCCCCTCATTCAACACCTTGTTGAGGTGCTCCTTATAGTTCTCGAACCGGAACCCCGTCAGGAAGCCCAAGCTGCCCAGCGAGAAACTCAAAATTGGCGGTACAATCCTCTGGAACAGCCAGCTGGTGAAGAGAACAGTCCCGTCACCACCGAGCGTGAGAACGAGGTCAAATGTCTCCGGGTTGCTCCAGCAAAGATCGGGTGTCCAGTACTTCAGCATTCCCTTGAACCGCGGGTCCTCATCCACGAGTGTCTGCGCCGCAAAGCGCTTGCTCTCCTTCAGCTTCTTGTCGACATAGACATTGACGCCGATGTTGGCGCCGTAGCGCGGCGTCTTCATGAGCCAGTGAGCGAGCTCTCTGGTCAGCGTGACCAGCTGGTTATCGCGCGCCTTGGTCACAATCATGATGTTCTTCACGTTCATCTTACAGGTGCGTCTCTGCAGCTGCCGTGCAACCTCGCGGACGCCGAGGGCCGTCTGCACGAGGCGTGAGTGGGAGGTGAATTCGTCGCCGGCGATCTCCTCGAGCACGCGGTCGACGTTGACGGCGTTGTCGAATTTCTGGTGGTAGAAGCAGGGGCTCTGGAGGCCGCCCGGGGGCATGAAGCGTGCTGTTGCGGGGGGCTGAAGACTTGCTCGACGCAGTCGCTGAACTGCTCTTGGCCGTCTTCTTGGTCGTCGTCCTGGGTGTTTGACCAGGGGGCCGTCATGGGCTGGTAGAGGGGTGACATGGCGCTCGAGAGGTTTGCAGCAATGTTCACAGGGATTGGGGTGCGCTGGGAGGCAAGCGCTTTGAGAATTGTTTGGCGGGGGATGTTGTCGACACTGAGAGGGTTTATCACGGGCTTGCGGCGAGTGCTGAGCGATGAGGGGGATTTTAGGAAGGCTGCTGCCGTGGCGGACTGGGGCACTGTGTGGAGAGTGTGTTTGGGTGAGTGTGTGGAGGGGAGTTTGCAATCATCGGCAAAATGCAGTTGAGGGGGGGCGGCGGAATAAGTAGTTGTCGAGGGAAGAGGAGGATTAGTAGAGGTGGAGGGAGAAGAAGCTTGGGGAGGGTGCTGAGAGGTGCCGACGGAATTAACAATATAGGAGGCTTCCGACGCAGCCGTGCCCTTCTTCTCCTCCTTCTCCGCCGCCTCCTCACGACGACGCCCACTTGAGGACTCGGTGTAGGACTCGGTGCTCATGGCGAAGTTTGCCAAGGGAGATGACATATTCAACATTATTTTTTTTCAGAATGTGTGTGGGAATTAAAATTGAGACGAGTGAGTGGTTGTGGTGTGCAAACTAATGCGGTTGTTTAATTTCTCTATCCAGAGACTCCGTGTGGAGGAAATCTCCCGAAGAAGCAGGAGGTGGGAACTGGGATGTGTGGAGGGCTGCGGTTTAAACTGTGGGGGTGTACCGTGTGCGTGAGTGATATGCGGGTGGACGAGTTGGGATTCTCCCTTCAGCCTGGGGATTGGACGAGGGGATCTGGTAAGAGGACAGATCTATAATCCAATCTGTAATGACCCACGCAGGGACTGCGGGCGAGCAAAGCAAATCAAGAAAGCCGTGGATATTATTATTGAGGCTAACGGTTGAATGAATAAATGAATGAATGTGGTTGAGCGTTTGACTGGACCGAAGTCTGACTGCCTGAGTGTTCAGAGAGGGTACGTGAGTGGTACTCGTGTTGAGTGGTTGAGCCTGTAGTCTAGTTCTCAGTAATATCGTAGCGGCAGCTAGGCTTAAATTCCTTAAACTCCTTTTTTCTCTTTTCCTTCTGGAACCAGTCCAAAATTATCCGCACGTGTGTGTACGAGGATGCTGTGTGGATCAGCGTGTCGTCGTAGTAGTAGTAGCAGTAGCAGCGAAGTAGGACAGAGTAACAAGTCCGCTTGGATTTAGGCTTTTAGCTGGTGTTTCCTACGCACACAAGAACGGTTGCATGTCAGCATGGATTCTGGAAAACACCCTCGACTCCAGATCTCGGTGATGATGATATCATGCCGAATGTATGTATGTATTATGCTCATCGCATATCACCCATCGCGTCAAAACAAAAGAGAATCCCAGCCCACATGTCTGGGTCTGGGTCGGAAAACAAAGAAGGGCTGCCCGCATGCGGGACGAGATACCCGGAGATGCACAGATGCAATGGATAAAGAAGCTGGTATACTCACTGTCGGGTCGGAAAAGAAATAAAAAGAAAGAAAGAAGTAAACAACAGTAACTGTAGAACAATATATGCAGACCGGATATGAACCTTCTCAAAGATGCTCTATGGAAGAAAGAAGGATCGATATGTGAGCGGAAGTGTCTCCCTAGATATGCTTTCCACGACCTAATCTAACAACCCAGAGAATTGGCCCGCGGGGGTCGACGAGAGATGGGATGGGAAAGGATGGGCGCTTAGAATTCAAATCTAACCGTGACTGTACCTAACTAACCTACCTGGACTTGAATAACGGGAGGAAAAAGAAAGAAACAGAGATCGTGGGATGTCGAATTATGTTGTTTACTGTCTCACGTGCCAGGTACAAAAAAAGACGCTGCCAGAGCGATGGTATCAAAAGTAGATGGCGAGCGTGCCGGCGGTAATGCAATGCGGTTGATAGAAGAACGGTTGATAGAAGTGAAGAAACAACAAAGAAGATGGGCTTCGAGGGCGTCGAATACAGATCCACAATCCGGAAGAGTCCTTACTTTTGAATCCCGTCAACTCCTTCTCCTATCCTCTCTCCCCTTCGCGTTCAACTTCACTCTTCCAACGTTCCCAGGGACGGTCGTCTCATCATCCTACAAGAAAAAGGGCCTTAGGGCAAATCGGTTCCTTACTTCTTCACCGGCAACATTTCTCCTAAACATTCAGAGTATGAAAGAACTATGGGCTGCACATCCACAATGTGAAGCTGTGTGATGTTGATATTTTACCCACCACCTCCAACGTCTCGAGGTTCGTTGTGATACCACACACGTTTCAAGGCCCTTATGTCTCTGTACCCCAACAACTTGACTTGATATGATATCCACCCTACTCCCACCACCGCTGTCAAAAGAAACCCTCGCTAAAACCCAGCCAGAAACGCTTAACGCGACCTCCTTCTCACCTACCAACCGTGTTCATGCAGGATCCCCTGTCTCTACCGATCTGGGAGAAAAGTGCAATAACTAACACTTCTTATTACTGTTCCTTGCAGATTAGTTACTGAAGCTTTTACTTGAGTAACCGAGGCTCCAACCGCTGTGGATGTCGAGGCTTTTGTGACGGATTGCTTGGCATGGATATGTCTCAATATTTATCCTTCCTCACTAAGCTGGTACTGTGTTACCATGGGGTCATTCCCAAGGAATTGGCTCAGGTGTTTGATGTGCTGCCTCCTACTATCAAGCTGTTTATCTTGCTTGGCCTGCTCTTAGTATGCAGTGCGTCTTTAATTCCACGCAAGTTGGTTCTAGAGTACAAGTGGGTATCTATCTGCCCGCAATGCCGTTGCTTATGGCCGGCCAAGCAACTGATAGGATGGCCTTGAGATTTTGTTATTTCCCTCAGTCGCTTTCACATGATGTGTCCATCCCATTTGGCGAGATCAATAGGCGCCGGTAGGCATTGGCGGCTGCTTTGTATTCACTTGGTCTGTGCCCCTCTCGTAAATGTGCTTTGCTTCCAATGAGAGAAATACGACAAGACAAGGTAAGGCAATAGGCGACTTGATTGCGTGCTTTATTGCTGTTTGAGACATGGAAAACTGACTGGGAGGATGGTGAAGATCAGTACTCAGTTAGTAGGGGTAAATGCGGGAAGTTGGACTGAGGAGAAGAGGAGAGACGATAACCAACATCGCGTCCTACTTAGATAGAGTACAGAACTAGGATAATGCGGGGACAGAGGACTAGTACTCAGTAGCCAAGGAGGTTATCTATTGGCTGACATTAAAACGGTGACGAGATGAGGTTCCTGTACCTGGCAAAGCAGAGGTTGGCTCCTTCCTCCTAGACCGGCATGTTAACCGCTGGCTGCAGTGAAATAATAGGCATACATGCATCCAACTCTACTTCTCGTCGCCATATATCGCCTCAAGTGCTACCCAAGTATCACAACTCATGAGTATCCTCCAGTAGAAAGATGCAGCGAGTTGAGTAATATTTAGAACCCCAGGTAAACTCATGGGGGCGACGTTGGGTTCTTTAGACCATTTATTCATGGATGAGCACTCGAGTGACCTCCCTCAAGTAATAAATAACTGTCACCAGGAAGCAGCAAGACACCGTCTAGCACCTAAAAATATGTTAGAGCAGTTATAAACCCACCCATTAATGCTACAGTAAGCCACCACACACCCACATGGGGCTTAAATTTTGAGTTAGACTTTCCAGGGTACCAGCCCTCCGGTTGCACATCCGCTGTCAGAAAGAGGCGAGGTTTGTACTGTTGGCCAATGAGATGCGGGGGGCAGCCGCCGTAGAGTTGCACATTCTGGGACTTCGATTAGATTATTGCACATTCCTGTCCAGTGAGTGGTTTGTGCAACGATGGCTTATGGGAGTGGAGTGAAAGCATGCACACACATGTACCTATTTGTAGAGCCCTATGAGGTGATCAGATGACCAGATGGCAAATTTCTTCTCGGCAACTTTGATAGCTGCAGCAGGGAGGAGATGCGGTCTCTCGCGCTTTCTTTATCGTAAGCTTAAGTTGAAGATGTAAATGAATAAGATTTCGGGTTTATTTAACTTCCCGGACAATAAACTTAAGTCTAAATTTTAAGCTTTAGTAAGGATTCACGATTCGAAACGAATAGATCTTTTCTCCATCCAGCACAAACCCTAATACGAGTTTCAAGATGGTTGAAAAACTGGTTATATGTGTTGAATAGATTTGGCATGGAGCTGCCCTATGGCAACCTTAACATATACCATGGGTGTTCATAATATCAAGTTGGTGAAAGGCTAGCCTAATCCTACATGAGAAACACAGGTAAGGGGGGTTTCAACTCCAACACCAAGGCCAAAAAAATCCCGGTAAATACCTCCTCCTCTCCCCGGTCCATCTGTAGCTGAAACCACACACGTTAATACCACGCACGACAATGCTTTTGTTGTTATGTGAAGTACTCCCTGTTACAGGAACTACGGAACACTGTTCTAGAGGCTTAGAACAGTGAGGAATACGAGTGACGGGTTGTGACGCGAGGGACGGTCGGGTAACGGAAGGACAAGCATAGAAAGGTATCGGGTAGAGTGGGGGCACGCGGTGTTACCACACTAGTCCCATACTATTATGGCGGCACGCTTACTATTGGGTGTCTCACCCGAAATAGAATAGGAAGCGGAGCTTACGGCTGTAGGCTGTTCTACTTAGGGAAGTAGGTCTAGGATAATAGTATGGTACAGCCCGATGACTGGCAATTGCAAGGTTCATGGTTACGTGTCGGAATTAGAATGGAGGACGGAACTATGCGGGGGCGCTTTTCTATCTGGGTTATCTTCGGGAACATTATCTTATTCTATTATCGTTGTATCAGTTAGTATTAGAAAGCGGGCCTTGGCATAGGTTCCAACATGTATAAATAGGGCAGGATTCTGCGAAGACTTGGGGGTATCATCAACCATCAAGTCAAGGGAATCCGGTTTACAATATCATCAGTTTAAACGCTACAGAATTACCGCTTAGCACTGGCTATTTCCCCAAACACTATATTGTACCTTATCCCTAGCTTTTACTCTTTACCTATCGCATACACTACCAAAGTCTCGATAAGACAACTACTCGCTTAGACCAATACTCTGAGTATTTTGCTTAGTGGCGGATAGTCACCGTGCTCTCAGTAGAAGAATAAGCGCTTAGTCTATTAAAAAGACCAAGGCACTATATGCACCCCCGAGTGGCAACAGAAGCCATCAACAACTACCTCTGCGCTACATCCTTCATCGTAGGAAGAGGAAGCGCTGAACATCTATACTGCGGATACCTCCACTACACAGGTTTCTTCGCGGAAGCAGGAACCACCGCTACCTTCGAGGAACACGACCCCGAAATCCTCAACTACCCAGAACTCTTCCCAATCAAGATCACCCTCTCCCAACGGTCCTTCGGACTTGCTCACCCAGCCCCCTGGTTCATCGCTCAACCCTGGTGCAGAAGGCAACCACAGCTCAAACTCGAGCAACTTAGCAATGTCAAGGGCTCATCAGCAACGGT